TTATTATTATTATTATTATTATTATTATTATTATTATTATTATTATTATTATTATTATTATTATTATTATTATTATTATTATTATTATTATTATTATTATTATTATTATTATTATTATTATTATTATTATTATTATTATTATTATTATTATTATTGCAGTACATTGTTGTTTATCTCACTTCTAACAGCACATGCAGAAAATAGATGAAAAAACGCGATTGAATTATATGCTATAGATTTCAGTAATTACCGTTATTACTGTTAATTTTCATCCAATACTCCGTACTAATAATTGACTTCTACTCTTACTGCTAATACTATTACTCTTACTACTACTGCATTTACCTGGGGCTATTATTGCTATCTAAAATATTACTCTCCTTTTCTTTTCCCCACCCATTCTCTCTATTTTGTCGTTTTCTATCATTTTCCGGATTTATATCCCGGAAAATGTTAAAATTTTGAAAAATGAGCAGCTTCCTTATTTCTGCCGCTGTATTTTTCAACATTTATGTTTTTAAGAAAAATTTTTTTAAAAAAAAGTTAGAAATTAATGGATAATAATCGTTATATTTTTATATCGACAACGTCTGCCACAGTTGTTGGTGCAAATTGTATGCCTTATGTTCATGGGAAGAATTGAAAAGCCAGTTTTTTTTTTCTAATGTTATCTGATGTTTTTTTTTTGTCTTAAAATGTGAAAACCGATTTTTTTTATACAGCTTTCTTTTAAGAGTGTAAAGAACACTGTAAAATGATTTTACCAGTAAGTTGACATTCGCCATAAGTGTCTTTTAATGAGAGAACCAACCTAATACATTTTACATTTTTTTTTTGGAACAAAATTTTTTAAAATATTTGATCTCAGAAGTGGTTTCACTTAAATATTTCGCAAATTTCTCAATGCATTCAGTTTCCAAATTCCTCTCCTTGTAGAAGCACTCAGTTCACTAATGAGATATTGATTCTGTATGAGGAATATGAATCTGATGTTGTTTCATATTCCTCACCTTTATACTGCCATTTACCCAGTTAGTTGTTGAACAATTGGTATTTGTTTTTATTTGTTTTTTGATCATTGGGAAGTTTTCGATGTTATAAATTGTCATTTCACTTCAATCAGCAACCTGTTACCAATTAATCCCTTCTCATGCACTGCATATATGAGAGTCTTATTTTATTAATATTTTTATAAACAATTATTGTCACCGATACAAAAATATTACGTTTTCTCAGAACATATTCAAATGATCATTGGAGCCTATAGTTAGCATAAATTATCTTATTGCACTCATTCACTAGGCATAAGCTTATACCTATCAATTTTCGGGAAAACTTTCAAAGTTCCTTGAAATTTGTTTGATTCAATACCACTTTATTCTTCGGTAGGTGGATAGCATAATGGACAATCACCTATTAAACATGATATTGATGATAATGAATGATTTGGACCAGCATCTTTACTAAAATCAATTCTTTACAAAAAAAGAGAAACAGATATGCAAACGTAAACTAGCATCAGTTTTGATATGACGAATTATATTACGGGTCTTTCATTTTTCTCTTTCTTTTACATAATTTCAAAATTTATATTCACTGTTTAATTTTGCAATTACAATTATAGTAACTGTAATGATGAATAAAATGCGGTGATTTGTACATTTTACATTTTAACACAGTCATAACAAGTTCTACTTCCTCGTCATTTTTAAAACTACATTAAAACTCCGACAGTTACTAATTAATTAAGTTTTTTGAAGAAACTTGGGCAATGTTAAAAAGATGAGCAATTTTTGCATCATTGAAGATTAACATGTCATCTATAAGATTTATATGTCATGATACTCTTCGATCTATTAAAAATTCTAGGTAGAATGACTAGGGAAATGAAAATCAAATTTTCTTAACTTTTTTCTTTGTTTGAAATAACACAACATTTTATATGAATCAGTTAGTGGCTATTGGGAATACTGATTACCATCATTAGCGAATATGTTTTGCCCACTTTATCTCATCTGGATCAATTGCATTCCTTTATTTCATCGTAGTTTAATTATTTTTCACTTTAGTATTGATTTCTTTAGTATTGATTTGCTGTTTTTATTCTCAAGATCTGATTTAAATTATTGTTAGTGCATGTTGTCATGTGTTGCTGGAAAACTCTGTGTCAACGAAGTACCTCTTCTCCAATTCGACAGCAGTTTTTTTTTTTATTTACATTGTCTATCCAAACAGTTTGAGATATTCGGTAATCTTCCAATAAATTGCCCTTTAAATTTCAAACTGTTGAAAAACACTTCTGTTTTAATAATTGCGATTATAAACGAAGAAGGAATATTCATCAAAAAATAAAAAAGATAAAAAACTAATAAAGGGATAATTATTAATAGAATAAAAATAAAGAATTAATAAAGAAATAATTATTAATGGAGTAAAATTTGCATTGCATTAGCAGTTGAAAACAAGAAGTAACTTAAAATCATTCAGTTTATTTTGAATTTAAAGTCACGCTTTCAATGATGATTTTTAGTCTTTTTCTTTTCAACTTCATAACTGACACAAACAAGAAATGGAATAAAGCCAACTTGAGCAAGTTTTCAATTATTTTTGTAAATGATAAAAGTTTCATCTCCACCTTTTTGCTTCATCTAAGAATTGTGCAACTATATCATAACTTATCAACACAATATCAGCAGCAGAAGAGAAATAATCCTCATAAGCACGAACCTTTAAATGATACTAAATTTAAATCTAATCTTGTTACATACAATCTCACAAATATCTCTTTTCTGATTCCATCTAATGATCCTTCACTTTGTCGAACATTTTTATCAAAAATTTTCTGCTTTTAAAGAACTAAAAATTTGCTTTGGAATTTCGTTACCAAGAGAGAATGATGTATAACAGGTATTACATCAAAATAAATTTTTAGTTTCACTGTCAAAAAAATATTGTCAAAATGTTCTCACAATTTCTATTTTTATCACATGCGGTGCTTTGGCAACTTGTTGCTACACAAATGGGTAAGAAATTTTACTAAATGAAATACAGACTTGAAAGAATTATATTGTATAAAACAGATTATGTTCAGATACGGAAAGACATAATAACGTTGTCAGTTATGTGAAGCCTTCGAATTAAACAAGAATATTTATGTCAAAATATTACCCGAAAATCTCTGCAATTATTTTTTAATCAAGAAAATACTTCAGAATTATTTGTTATTTCATTTATGTAAGGACAAAATGGTTTCAACTATATTATCCTAGATATGAAAGCTGACAAACAATTCTTAAAGCCAAAGCGGTGTGAAATAAGCAATCAGACGATATATGATTTTCAAGTTCCAACGCTAACTGGTACACAAAAAAGCTTGGCAGAATACCGCAACAAAGTTCTTCTACTTGTTAATGTGGCTACTTATTGTGGTACCTATCTTCTTTTATAAAACATTATTTATGCTTCAAACAACGTGACTTTTTATTTATATCAATGTTTTTTTTTCTTTTCCAGGAACTAATTTAGTTGCAGTTTTTATCAGAACTTAAAGAAGCTGAATACGTCACTGATGTTATGACAAAGTGATTTTCTCTAAGCAAGAAGGCGAATGAGAGGCAGGAATAGGGATGACTAATCATGACAAAAAAAAAGAATATGTCTACACTCTCAAGCTTTTATTCTTGCCTTGACTTTTTAAGCTTGAAATATCTTAATCCTAAAAGACTTTTATGGTTCCTTTCATGCTATTGATTTCTATACTTTATAAATGACAAATTTTCAGCATACACCTTACAATACAAAGATTTCAATCCAATACTCGACAATAATTCTAATGGGACGCTCAATATTCTAGCATTTCCATGCAACCAATTTTTCTTGCAAGAACCAGCAGAAAACCATGAGTTGTTGAATGGTTTGAAATATGTAAGACCAGGACATGGCTGGGAACCGCACAAAAATATGCATATTTTTGGCAAGATTGAAGTTAATGGTGAAAATAATCATCCGCTTTACAAATTTTTGAAGGTCTAAAATTCTTCTTGAAAAATCCTTTATTTTATATTTTCCAATCATTGTGTTGTTAAAAAAGGATGAGTTAATTAGTGCGTTTTTTTGCGCTTTTGTTTCGGATTTTCTTTTTAACATCTGAAAAGTTGACTCCACTCACATTTCAATCCATTTTATTACTTCAAAAAATCTTGCTTTCCATAAATGATATGTAAAACAAATGTCATAATAGAAAGGATCACCTACTAAAAGCTAAGTAGTGGTGACATGTATCATGAATCCAAAGATTATTTTTAGAAAAGAACTATTTTGTAGGAAAGATGTCCGCCAACGGTGCCAATAATTGGAAAACGTCACGAGCTGATGTACGATCCGATCGGTACAAATGATGTCATCTGGAATTTTGAAAAATTCTTAGTTGATAAGAAAGGTCGCCCACGTTATCGCTTTCATCCGGAAAGTTGGATTCAAGGAACTGCTATAAAGCCGTACGTCGATGAACTAGAGCGTGAAAATTGACGATTTTATCCTGTCACTTTCAAACGTTTCGTAATTTGTAAAATTTTTCTACATTTATATTCCTATTGCAATAAAATCAGCAGTCTTCGATCTTGCTTTAATAAATTCCCAAACAACTTAAATGAATATTTATTTAATTAACTGGTCTAAATAATTAACCAGTTTATTATTCATTTAAAAATGCAGCCCAACACTTACTGTAGGAATGACAATTTACCACATTCTCGTTCATATGCACCACTTATGCAAATACCAGCATATCTTTTGCAGTATTTGTTAATACAAATGAAGTCCTCCGGGAAAAATGAAGCAAAGAATTGCTCACAATACGATGTTAAACACAGAAATGGTCAGAATCGGGAAAAATTTGAATACAAAAAAAGATTTCATTGAATTCAATTGCATTTAAAGATATATTTTAAAATCATTTATTTCATAATTTCCCAAGAATCATCCAAGTGTTAGAAATTGCAAATAACAAAGTATGCATTGCTTTTTTCATTCTTTAGTTATTCATAAGGAAAAGTCTCATTGATTATAACTTGAATTAGTCAGTGTCATGCGTTCTATCAGTCAGCAATTTGTCTCCATAAGATGTAATAAATTCTCAATTCTCTTGATTTATTTTCTCAACGTTTGCCTTAGCAACTGAAGCATATATATGAGAGAGGTGTAGCTGCATCTCTATGCCATCATATTTCCATGTATTTGATACATGTGTACATCATAGGGATGGATTTATCACTAATTTTTTAATTTCTATTTCTATTTCAAACTAAAGTATTTGACTTTAATTTAAATTTTTTCAAAAATATTTCCATGAATTAGTCATTTATGTCTCAGTACCTGACGTCGAGTTCGATACTATGGTGAAGAATTATGGTCATAGGCTTAGCTGCTAATCTGCCTAATATGTTCGAAGATCACAACGCATATTCGGAAAATTTGTCTAGCAAGTGCACTTTATGATCTTCGGGTAGATAAGGCAAATTAGTCAAGTCAATGGTTATAATTCATCATTTCAGCTATGAAAATTGCTGTCAGCGTATTAACATTTACAATGAATATTTGAATATTTCAGTCAGCTGACATGTCAATCGTTCTTCACTTCATAGAATCGTTAATACTAACATGAAAAGGTATTTTGAAGCGAACACTTTTTTTTGTTTGTTGATTCAGTTGTAAATAGAAGTCGTAATAGATCTGCATAGGATTCTCTCCTTTTTCTTGATCCTTTTTGCGCTTTGAATCAACTGCTTACTACAGTTGAGAGTTTGAAAATGGATTATTAATTCCACTTACAGAAGTAGCCAAGATGGGCAGTGCAGTAAGCAATCATCATCAAATTACTGCTGTCGCTGCAGGAAGAGTACTTTCAACAGCTGCAGTAACAAAAACGCTTTCAGAAAAAACCGCTTCAAAACAAATTGATAAACAACTGCAAAAGGAAAAATTGAAGAACATGAATATTTTTAAAATCTTATTGTTAGGAAAGTTTTGAAGCATGAGGAGAAAATATTTCAACCTCTAGTGGTCTTGTCTTCATGTCGAATTCTTTCACAGTCCCAAACAATAATATTTTAAACCAACAGAGGAAAGGATTGCTTTTTCAAAATGCACTGAAATAGCAAAAGCAGGATGGAAAGGATGATGATAATTCTCTTATGTCTGTTTAATAGGTTTGGAATTCTGACAATTGATTCAACTTTGATTAACAATGATTACATTTTAGGTGGTTCAGAATGCGGCAAAACGACAATATTTAAACAAATGAGGTTCATTAGCTGTTTCATTTTATATTTCCCTAGAACTATTGCTTTCCTAAAGAGAAAGAATACATTACGCCATTTGAAATTTTTTGTTTTCAAAAGCACGCTCCTAGTTTTTTTTTTTTACTACATACATGCATTAGGGAAAATGAGCTTAGAACAGTGTTAAATGAGCAGGATATTGCACCTTAATGGTTTTACTGAGGAGGACAAGAGTCTTTATCGACAATCAGTTTTACGAAATATCGTTGATTTAATGGCAAAAATACTTCGAGCATGTGAAACATATCGGATCGTACATGAACAGTTCATACAGGTCTTCATTTGTACTTTTACGAGTGTAATTCAGGTAAGGGGCTTTCAGATTTGTAAACTTAGTGTAAAAAATATACATCCTATCTCTTATTTAACTTATTATAAACATATGATAATGAAATCTTAACAATTTTAGGAGAAAGTAAACGTATTCATGAAATTTTATGAAGATATCGATTCGGATTTGGGAAATGCTCCAATTGTAATATCGCAGGAAATGACTAAAATTATTCAACAAATTTGGCAAAGCAATGGCATACAACTTGTTTACGAAAGACGTTTCAATTATCAACTACTTGATAATGCCAAATTGTTTGTTGCAGTTTACCCCAACCATTGCAGAATATGCAAAAATTTATACTAATGGCTTTCTTGATTTTTCTTCCATATTTTCCAGTACTGCAGACAATTAAAAGATAATGTTGTAGCTTTTTGAATAGCCTCGGAAGAATCACCTCACCTGATTATTCTCCAACAACACAGGATATTCTACAATGTCGATTCAAAACTATGGGTATACATGAAATCAATTTTATATACAAGAAAATCGATTTCAAGTATGAATTTTGTTCATTTGCTCATTCTTACAATTGAAGAATTCTTTTAACACCCCTTACATTCAATCACTTGAGCTGATGACCAGATCCTTTTACTTAATATAAGCAAGTTCACTTCGTTTACTACCTGCTAATTATCTAATTAGCTCACATATCGAAAATATCGGATTTTTTCAGGATGATTGATGTTGGTGGACAACGTTCGGAAAGGCGCAAATGGATTCACTGTTTCGATGATGTGAATATGGTACTATTTGTTGTGGCAATGACTGAATTTGATCAAGCCGACCCGGAAGATGAAAATAAGGCAAGCAACTCAGGTTCATTTATCGTTTGTACATGATAAATTACCTGGTAACAGAAAGCTTTAAAAAAAACTGTAATTGCGGTCATCAAATTATTTTGCTGAATCCATTATTGCTAGTGCTTCTTTAGCTTGTTTACTGTTTCTTGAAAATACAATCGTCCTTCGACAGCATATAATTGTTGTTGCTCTCGCACAGCGAAGAATAGTGTCAGATTGTTTGAATGTGGCAGATTTCGTGGATGAAAATTGACAAAAAGTTCCCAAATTTACTGCACAAATCATTTTGATCAGAAGTTTTAGATATACTTAATTATAACCATTGCTCATCCCTGTTCGTAGAACATGCATCTTATTTTATCTTTAAAAGAAGCTTAATCTTTTTTTATTGTAGCAAAAAGACTAATTTTATTTTTTAAATATAGAATTGTATGATGCAAAGCTATCGAATATTTAAAACGATTGCACGAAGCGACTATTTCAAGAATTCGTCTATTGTTTTGTTCTTGAACAAATATGATATCTTCCAAGAAAAGATTAGATACTCCTCGCTAAAAAAGTGTTGGCCAGAATACAGTGGTCAGTTTTCTTTTTTTTTTTCTTGCGAAAGCTGGAGTATACCAATAACATCCCATGGGGATCCAAATTATTTTGAAATGTTTGACATATTAATAGATATGAAGTTATCATTGCAATGAATTGATTTAAGAAAATGAAATAAAACAGCGGTTTCTGAGTCTTTTAAATGCTACCATAATTTTTTTTTCTCCAGTTAAGTTTCTAATATGTTAGATTATTAACCTCTTGAAAGACATTATAGCATTCTTTCGAAAAAAAAATACAGAAAGGATATTAAGGTGATGGCATGCTAACCTACGAATTAAATTTTATTGATATGGTCAATGAAACTGAAGAAAGAAAAGGGGCCAGGTGATCGTAAATAACCCATATCCACATATCGTTTATTCAAATTTGCATAATGTTTTTTTGTAGGTGATAATTCAGTAGAGGATTGTACGAAATTTTTGGAAAATCAATTCCAGCGATGCATATCAAACAAACAAAAATACTCCGCTTTTGTGACAACGGCAACCGATACCAAAAATGTTGATTTGATTTTCAGCTTGGCAGTCGCACATACCATTGATCAAAATCTTAAAAGCATGGGCGTTAAAGAATAACGTATATCATGTTCGCCTTCTTTCTTATACGTGTGACTGACAGCTCTTTTATTGCATCCAAAAAAGTTCCGACCGTATTTTCATTGGAAATTTCATTAAAAATCAACAGTATTTATCAATAATATTCTCAGAAATTTATTTTGCATTGAAACACTTAGAAAGTTTTACCCAGAGTGGTACTCGAAGATGAAGGATTTCAAATGAAGAAAAAATAGAAAATGTAAACTTAAACGAGTTAAATTAAAGCCAATTCCGCAAAGAAGTTTTACTTCGTTCTCACCCTTAGTAATCACAACAGTTATACAGTTCATTGTCGGTAACCATCAGAATCACATAAATATTATCTGGATACTAATAAACGAAATACCATCTATTTCCTCTATCTCTGTCGATCAATCAGTAATCAACTTGAGTATCGCCATAAGAAAAAGGGCAGAAATATGCAATGAGAACGCATACACCTATCATAAACAAATGACAAAATATTAAAATATAGAAAATAGTCACGCGGAAAAATCATACCTCATACTAATAAGTAATAATTCACATGTCAGAAGACTTCATTGAGCGAAAATGACGCAGTGGGCTAACACAGCTACAAATTTTCCAAATCTATATCAACTTGAAGAAAAAAATTCTTGTGAACAATACTACTAAGAGCAGAAAACTATCCATTGGCAGGTCCATCGATATGAGGCACTAAGATTACGAATAAGTGATTAGAAGTGATATCCATATGAAACAGGTCTGTCAAGTGAACTGGCATAACACTGTACAACAAAAACGAAGTGAGGTGAACAATGTGCGGACATCAACATCATTCAACAAACAGTAAGAATTTCCAAGCGAGACGCTTCGAAATGATTTCAGCCACAGATTGATTATTTGTCAACTTCTAAAATGGGAAACGGAATTTTCCTTTCTGGTTGTTGCTGTTGTTGCGAATACAGTTCATAAAGAGTTGTTTTTCCTCCACTGTATCCAATTTGACAGAATTCGACAACACCACCCAAACCTTCTGCACTAGACATCCCCGAGGAGCCACCACGTCCACTTGAACTTGATTCGATCGAAAATCTTCGTTGCTGGTTACTGCTGTTTGACTTCGATACCGAGGTTTCATTCGGGTTTTCCTTACTCACCTCTGTTAGTAAACTGAAAAAATTTTGGACGTTTTGAAACGCTAAATAAAAATTCTTCTACGCAAATGTATAGAAAAGATTATTAATTTTCTTCAAATCCGAAATCGAATTATCCATTTCACTATATAAGAACAAAAAAAGTTGATGAAAGCATATTCTCTCCTTCGAGGATACCGTCGTTTTTTCTCACGATGGCTAAATTGCCAAGTATTAGACAGGAATCGAAAGTGAAAAATTTCCAACAAAACTTTTAGTCTTGAAGCAGTGACAAACTAACGTGCTTGCTTCATTGACAGTGAATGCCGATGCGGATCCTTCAAGTGCTGGTTTCCCTATACTATCCATATGGATTGAATCCGCTTCATAAGCAGTCGAGTCGGAAAAGCGAGTATGTCTTAGTGGCGGGAAAGGAAACTTTGTACTTCGCAATTTACCTAAATAACGGGTAAATTTTGCAATAAATGGCAATGATCAAAAAGAAAATGTAAGACTGCAATAAATTAGTCGTCCATTTTGCCCATTAACACAAGTCCCATCTTGAACCACATGATTAGATCGAGAATGATCAAGAAGGAAAGCAAGTTATGTTACCGTTTTCAGTAGAAGCTGCCTGTCCACCATCAACATTTACATACTGTTGATTCAGTAAGCCACTGTTACAAATGAAATCTTTTGTGCCATCTTCTTCTCCAATAATTTCATTTTTTTTCCCAGCATCTGAATAGCTGCATGGCCCATTACTTAATCGACGTTTCTTGTAGGACATTGGTGAATCACCCTTCTCATTGGCATCTGAATCCAACAACGCTGATGTTGCTCCAGTTGACCATAAAGGTGAACCGATCGCACTATCTATTGACACTGTCGCCGTACTATTCAAGTTAAGTTCATTGAAGGGCCTGAAACGGATTTGTCTGCAAATCCTGGCATTAAGTCACTTGTTGCATTAAGTCGGCATTAAGTCACTTGTAATCACTTGGCATTAAGTCACTTGTTGTCACTTGTACTTGTAAAAATTGTGAGAAGCATTCAGAGATTCCGAAGCATGAATTTCTGAATTTAATTACTTTCTACACACCTTCAAGGACAAAAGATTTTGGAAGAAATGTCATCAGGCTTACTACACGAAAAACTATTAATGGTAAAACACAACAATGGCGAAACTTTTCATCCCACAACTTACGACGTATTCGCTACTGGAATTGCAGGACATCTTCTAATAAATGCATGATACACACCGGATCGACTTTGCTTCTCATACAAAACAGCTTTTTCGCCCGACAACAAAGGATGGGAGTCATTATCAAATTCAGAATCTGAATCAGGATCGACCACAGGCTGTAAAAAAACTGTTGATTAACAATTGACCAAATTAACTTCTAATGCAGCATGGACACGGATGGATTCATTAGAATAAAAAGAAGAAAAGCTGAAAAAAGATTCAGAAACAAAGAATACAATATCACCAAGTTTGTGCGCTAATTTATTGCAGTTTATTCTCTAGCCTGATGACTTAATTCGGTAAATCACCCGCTTACGCAACTGGCACATAGTGCCAGTCAGTAAACCATTTTGCCATGTTCAGCAATTGTCAGCCTCTTCATGATTTAGAAAAGACCATCTTCAATTTTCGGTAAAAAACATTTCATCATAGACAATTTCCATCGAAATCGCTCCTCTCATATATCACGAGTTTTACACCGAATTGGTAGGGGAAAGAGCACGACTACGTAAAAAGGAAATAGACAACTAAAGTGTTGAAACTTGGATGATTCTCCGGTCCATTGATTTCAATTCAAAAAAACCGCAAATATTTGAGATTTACTTCACTCGGACTTATAACAGGTTCTGATAATGGTCGTGCTTTCCTGTGTCTTGATGGACTTTCCGTTATACGTAAAGGTGGAGGTGGAGGTGGTGCGATATTTCTGACTTCCTCACTTCCATCACTTGCTATCGACTGCACTTCCAGATATTTCTGTAGAGATAGCTTGAATTACATATAATATTAGAATTTTAAGTGAAGAGACAATCTCGACTTATAATACAGTTATAATATAGTCTATAACCTCGTGATCACGAGCTGACTGAGTAAGCATCCAGTCGAAATAATCAACCAAGGTGTCGAAACTTGGACGATTTTCTGGTTTTTCCTGAAAGATTCACCTCGACAATAACATTAGATAAATACAATATGTCGTAATAACAACAAATAAATATATTATAGATGAAAAATACCTGCCAACAGGCAACCATAACATCGTAAACCTCCTCAGGGCAATTATCCGGTGCTTCCATTCGATATCCCTCTTTCAAACATGAATACAGTTGTTGCATTGCAATAGACGGGTAAGGCGTGCCGCCAAGAGTCATTATTTCCCAAAGTAATATTCCAAATGACCAACTGGAAAAAAGAAAACGTGTGGTATGAATTGGTTCTGATCATCGCTTATAAATCGAATTAGTAACTGATAATTGATAAAACTGATATAAAAAAGAGCTGAATAGAGAGACTCTACACGTCACTGTAGATTGTGTAGACATGAGAATCTAGTGCTTCTAATGCCATCCATTTTATCGGTAATCGACCATTTCCTTTCTTCCGATAATAATCATTGTAATGGACATCTCGGGATAGACCAAAGTCTGATATTTTCATTACAAAACCATCTGCGACCAGAACATTTCGCGCAGCCAAATCGCGATGAATTATCTGTAACCAGTTTCTCATTGGTATGAGATTTTTGAGGGAGTGCTAAATTGTTTAAAATGATATAATTAATTAACATGGGTTATTGAAAAAAAACAAGAACATAAAACCTTTCGACTGGCCATGAACTCCATTCCTTTCGCCACTTGCCAAGCAAATTGTACAAGATGTCTTTGTGTCAAATGCTTGATAAGCATTGGCTCGTCGTGTGTTGATACAACGGTTAATTTCCTTTGCAACTTTCGCGGTTCTAAATAATGATCGCTGCTACCGCCAACACCAGCTCCAAAATTTGTAGCTTCAGGAACCTGAGATCCACTATCTGCATCCCGAGGGCGATGAGCTCTCAGAAAATCCCTGCATTGCATTGTAATACTGTTACTGATAATCAGATGAAAACAATTCTAAATATCAGTTATGATCTACTTGTCATTCTAAACATTCGGCACAACTTGGCAGCAGTTACGTAACAAAAGCAATTCACCTCAAATTTCCATGTTTGCACAACTCCACGATAACATACAACGGACCAGTACCAGTGCAACATCCAATCAATCGTAGCAAATTTTCATGATGACCAATTATTTTAAACGTTTCCATTTCACTTACCAAATCAATTAATTCTTTTTCATGAGCCGATGCTTTCAATTTTTTGACGGCTACCTACAATTTAAGGCACTTGAAACACATATAATGAATTTTATCTCAATGGAAAACTCCGGCAAAACATTTAAACAAAATTAGGAATTATAAAGTATCAAAGCACCACAGACCTCCTCCTCTCGTATATCTCCTTGATTTGTAGTTGTCCGCATTATTGGAACCCTTAGTATTGCTTTCCAAACTTCTCCAAATGCCCCTTCACCCAACATCTCCACAAAATGTAATCTTAAAAGCAACTTTAAGATGAAGGTTGAAAGTTTAGATCCAGAAGTTCCTGATTAAAAAAAATCGTGGAATATGTATAAATTACAACCTGGATCTTTCGATCTCCCAAGCTGGATCAGGTGGAATTTCATAATCCGACAGAAAAGTTAGGTCGCTCGAAAGTCGTGGTCTCCTGGTTCCAGATGTTGCGATTGGTTCTACATGAATTTGATAAGTCGATGGCATATCGGACCAACCATCGTTTTCTGGATCAACAGGCCGTTTTGTAACAATGACCTGAAAACTCTCCATTTTATCCTTTTGTGAAAGATGAAACTAGTTAGTAAAAATCAGGCTGACTGTAAGAACAAACTCATTCAAGTTGATAGCAGGCATGTTTTCAGTGAAAGTAAATAAAAAAATAAAGAGGAGGATGGGAAGAAGAAAATCACCCGTTTCTTTACTGGACCAATGAATTGCTCCATTTCAGCTATTTGTGCTTTTGAGCGTTTTCGGATGCAAAGTATGTAAAATAGAGTAATAGCCACTATGAAAATGAGTAAAATGAGAAGAAATACGACAGCCACAGCAGATGGACGAGACCATTTCGTATCTGGATTTCCTGTTGCAAGCGTCATCGCATGGAATTCGTTCACTGTTAAGGTTGCATTTGCTATTGCCTTAAATCGATTTTAATTTACATATAAATGAATATTTGGTTCGCTACTGAACTAAGTCGTTCTCCTATAACATTCTTTTTTCGGTTCACAGGGAAACTTGTGTGGCAGACTTACATGGCCAAGATGATTGCCTGATACACATGCATACATCCCTTGATCGGCCACAGTTACATTCACTATTGTCAATGTTGATGAATCTTGCGATGTTTTCGTTACAATTGCATTCTGAAGAAGCACAACAGGACACCTGAGGGAGATTTCAGAGGGAGAAACATAAGATGAGGAAGAGAACAGATAGAAAGAGAAAAGAAAATGAAATTAAATAAAAACTTGAAGATGTGGCTTCATCAAAACGTTAATGTAGGAAAATCAACGTATGAAGGAAAATAAAAACATCAATTAGGGTTTGAAAAAACATGATTAAACAACCTCCACCGATTGCATATCAGTATATCGGAAAACATATTTACGATCCGTTTCATTCCAGTAATAAATGGAATTATTGGTCATTTCAATACGTATCCAAACGATGTGTGGTGTCAGATCTGATATCACCTGCAAACCAAAGAATTTTCCGCAACAAATTTTAGAATTTGAAAATGACCGCAAACGAACGATTTTTTGACTTTTTTCATAAGATTCAATTTTTGTTTTCAATCGAAACGTGACTTCTAATTTTTATTCCCACATTAAAATATTTATCAGAGGAAAAGAAAGTTAAAGACTTTACTCACTTTACAAGTGAAATTAACTGTACTGTTAGCATCAACGGTTTGATTTAGGAGAATATTTGGGACGATGATCGGTTTTGAACGCATCCGATCAACGACCCTCAGTTTGAAAGTTCGCGTTACTGAACCCGCCGAATTGAATGCCTGTATTAACAACACTTTTATCTGTTGTTACCTTGTTATATATATATTTATACTGTATATAAATCTCTTTTCCAATAAAACTGTCACAAGAACTCCAATCACTGATCACTAGAAATATTTCTAGAAGAAAATTACTTTTCTTAAAACTTCATGCTGGAGCTGAAAATCTTCTAACCTTTCAGAAGAGCTCGAAACATTACTTCTTTATTAGTCTATCACCGTGATAGCTTTTAAAAGTCTCGAACTTCAGTTAGCGAAATGAATTTTTATTAACTGTATTAGCACTTAACTCTTTCTTACTATCCTCAGAAAGATAACCGAGTTAAAAATACATCACTTTTTTTCACCCTTCCATCTAGCATCGCATAACGGTTAACTTTTTTTTCGGATAACGGTTAACTTTTAAAAAACCACTATAAAAAAGTGGAATTTCAAAATTATGAGATTGAAATCAACCTAAACATCAGCACAAAAATGGCTTATAAATGAACTGAACATCCCAACTATTTGGGTACTTTCAATTACAGCTTGATTAAAACTCATAAACTTCTTTGTATTAAAATTCCATGTATTTTACATTGAAAGAGTCAAATAACTCACCTCACATGTATAGTCACCTGAATCTGATTCTGCAACATCTTCTATCTCCAATGTATTCTTCCGTAGACGAAACTCGGTCCCTACTGGCCTTCGAACTTCCGTAGTGATCACTTTCTTGTTATTATTGAACCAGATAACCTAAAGTAAAATTTATCTTGCTTCACCTTTTAACAGTGCGAATAACAGTGACAACAAAGGATCTAAAATTAGACCTAAAGACGACAACAATTGTGAAATTGTGTACTACCTGCGGTTCTGGTTGTCCTCCAGCTTTGCATTGCAGTTTAATCGTTCTTCCAGAAGGCGTTATCACTGACGTGTCAGCATCTTCATCACGCACTTTGAAGTACGGAGGCACTAAAACTTCACCGTGTATTCGTAAAATACAATTAAAGAAAAAAAGCCGAAATGCTATTCTATGTTCTATTTTCATTTATAAAATGTCGGCAAATGAACATTTTGAACGATGTGACAAATCCAGTAAGATCAAAGATAAACGACCAAGCTGGAAACTAACGGTAAAAGGAAAATGCCTCAAATTAAACCAGTAGCAGTGACACGTCAAATGGCAGTAAATTATTGCTAAAACTGAAAACTCGAAAGCCAATTCCAAAAAGCAGATCCTATAAAATTAGGATAAGCAGATGAATATGTTGTCCACAGTGCCCGTTCAGTTAGGGCAAAAAATTAATCATTTAAACGAAAACCTTTCTGGAGAGGGAAAATGCGTCGCGTAGTAGTGCGTGCAGTCAATGAATTTGCTGCATGTAGGAAGGCTATTTTTGTTGTGCCCGTTGCAGATGTAGTCATTGTTATGACCGGAGCATGGATTCTCGGTGCAATATCAGGAACATGTGCTTCATCGGATTCATCCAGACGCGGTTGATCATGCATTAAGAAGTCTAACTTTTCCGGGATCTTCTCATCTGTTTCACTGGAGGAGCTGTCATTGCTGTTCATTAAAATATCAACATCCTTACTTTCTGAATCAACATCTTGAATACCATTAGTTGTGATGCTTGTACTGATTTCTGGAATTTCTTGTTGGAGTAGTGTTCGTGCCCGAAGACGTTTCTCAGCAGTATCTAAAGTATTCCAGTCACTCAGTGCTGGCTTAATGGCGGTAATTTTTTGTCGTGTTAACAGGTTCGATAACAAATGACTCACATCCACCCAATTATTTGCCACCAGCCAGTCGAGTAATTTTACCGGATCTGAAAATTTAGATAAAAATGAACAATTTTTAAACAGTGCTCAATGAAGCATGCTTACCGGACAAAAGAGCTGCCGCCTGTAAGCCATTGGGTTGCTGTTGCTGATCATGCATTATATCACTGGGCATTGCTTCATGCAATCCAACTCCTTGCAAAACTTCATGCGTATCCACTCCCGACAACTCACTCCCGCAGGCACCATTCTCACATATTTTCTTCCCCAACGGTTTCCGAATTTTGGATGCATATTTTTTGAAAGCATCACAGCGCTCATCGTTAATCTCAGTCCAATTGATGCCGTTCTTTCGATACTCGCCCGTAAGGTACCACAAGCAGATACACTTTTCCGGAACATGTTCAGCCGGAAATTCATGCATGAGGAAATAATCACAGAAATCTGCAACAATACCAAACACATGCCACAGCACCCATCAAATTCATGCAATATAAACAAAAAAAAAGAAAAAAAAACCACACAGGGATTTATTAGCGATTTTTTTACTTTGGGAATTTTGGATAAATCTTCAAGTTTTGCATGCGTTGAAGCACTCCTGTAGCTCATTAACATGCAGTTTTAGAAATCCAACAGATAACTCATACTGATGATGCATAAAGATAATTCGACTTTACCAAACGTATTCCCAAAAAATTCCTTGTCTCTTCTATTTCGAAGTATGCGTCGAACATCAAAAGAAATCTTTCCAATAGGGGGCAAAGTTATTTCATGCAGTTTACGGATGTATCAGTCAGTTTAATTCGTATCATCTATTAAAATCATTGTATACACCTGTACACATAAATAACCATTTCTAAGCTCACCAATAATTTCTAGAGTAAAATTACGAAATATAGAGCCGGCTTGATTCCATACTTTGCATGCCCAGGAGCCCTGCAAATACAGAATTGGCTTGTAAAGAATGCAGATGCCCTGATGGGAATGAAACAGTAATCCGTTTAAAATTTAACCTGATCGCTAACTTCCACTCTTCTTATTTCCAAGGAAAAATGTTTTTTATTTTCACGAAGGCGCTCATTGTTTGCATAAGTTGTGTGGTCCAAAAATTCTCCATTTCTAAACCAATGGATCTGAAATTAGAAATTCATCAGTTTTTAGAGAAAAGGGCAAGTCAGAAATAAGCTTGAATTAATAGTGCTAAAGTCATTAGGACCGTTCAATTATTCTATCTGGCTCCTCCTTGCTTGTAATATGCCTGCACGCCAAATCACAATGTTGCTATTCTCACTCTGCGGACTAGTGATTCGTCCGTTTTCCATTCTCAATCTAGTGATTTATCGGTTATTCAGACTATTTTTGATCTTCGTTGACCAACAAGAGAGTTTGACCAACATTCATTAGCTTATCTGCTCTAAGACATTTGCAAAATTTGATGGATGATCAGTTACAAATTTTGCAGATGATTAATAGGAAACAAACTTTTGGGGCTGGTCTTGCTAACGCGGTGCACTTGAATATTGCTTTATCGTTTAGGAATACCTCATGAACAACTCTTTGATTTTGCTTGAATCGAGGTGGGCCGGCTAAAAGAAGATTACGGTTGACACAATTCTAAATTTCGAAACAATGAGATATTAGCTCTCGTCAGCTCGTCATGTCGACGCCTTTGTTTGAAGATGAATTCCCTTCACTTAGCAGCACTAAAGCCTCTATAATCAACGATTGTATCAATAATAACATTACATCGCTTCCCTCTTGGCACAGTTCACGACTTCTTAGTAGTGAACGAAGTACTCGGGAGCAGGTGATATTATTACCTGGCTTACTCCAGAGAAAATATGGCTCTGGGAGTTATATTCTTTTCAGAATCTAGCATGTTTTCTCAGCTGACATCCAAGGAATCATGAAGATTGGGGCGTACAGCTTGCATGAGATAGCAAACAGGTCATGCAGTACCTGTATCGCTCATTTATCCCTTTTTTTGAAAGGCAAAACAATTCAGAGGTTAATTTCTGAGATAAGTAACAACTGTCCATTGCTTTTTCTCCTCTCACTCGTTAGTATACTGTTAGATGATCGATATCATACGAGAGAAGTGAAGAGTTAGCCAGGTTCTTATCAGATCATAGTGGAACAGAATGGATTGGAGAAAGGATTTTGCCAACAAGGGGATGTAAGAAACTAAATCAAGCTGATCAAAATTATCACGGATTTTCACTCGCTGACAGCAATCTACATTGAGATGAACGAAGCGGAACATAACGTTCGTTTTTTCTTACTGATAATAAGGGACTTTTTTTAACCACTGCTACTGTCAATGGTTTTTAGGGACTGATATGTTACGGTACAAGCGCAGTAATTTTGTTAGGTTAAACATGAAAATAGGTAGTGAACTTACTTTGGAGCCAAGGTCGTAATCCTTTACCACTACTATGAGTAGGCACAATAGCATTCACCCGTGCTACTAACACTGTTATCAGAAATATCGCAGGATACATTATTATCAGTAGTTTGAACTCTCAGAAAGGCGCATCATTGTTGTAATCAACAGGTTTTGTATTTGATAATAAGCTAAGATTTTCGTTTGAAAAATAAATTACGATTGCTGAAATTTGGAACGCTGTTTATAATATTCTGTTATAAATAAAGAAAAAAAGAAAGAAAGAAAACCGTTAAGAGATGAAACACATAAAACTATTTGATTTGACATGTTTCAAGTATGAAGATAGTATTTAAGATGCTGTCTATCAAAATCATAGACATCACTGTTATTGTATAGTAATACACATACAAAGAAATCAGAAACCATTAATATTCCAGCAATCATATAAATTTCAAACATCAAAGAACAAAATGCTTGTACGTAGTCATTGCAAAAGAGATTAATACCATTTTTTGATGATATGATACTCAAGGTAGTACAACACACAGAACACTTAGTTTTCTTCTGGTTGGTTTTTCCATACTTTTTCGATTCATGATGACCTTATTTAACTGTTTCTGTAGCCATCGCCCTTTACAACTTTAAAATGTCTATTGTGCTATATTTTATTTATAAGTAAAAAAAGATCTTTCATTCATGGAATTGACCAGTACCTTTTATTATGCTTCTATGGAGCTCACTATGCTATATGCATACTCGATGTATTACCCCATATTACTACTGAAAAGAAAAATTTGATAGTATCATATTAATTTTCTATTCAAATATAGCTCAGAAATACAGAAAGAATACCAGAATAGTATTAACCTTGCCTAATTTGTTATAGTGGGATTTCTTATGAAAAAATAGGTGTTCCCAGAAACATCTGCTGTAAAACGGGATGTACATAACTGTATCCGTACAAGCTTTTCATAATAGCTATTTGTGCGCTCACCATTAATAATGAAAGCAAAAAATGGCAGAGATGATGATGATTTCTGCGAACTGCGTAATGTGCAGCACATTTAAAATCGTCCTGCGATTTTTTCTTTTTTTTTTTTCTCGAATGTATTTCAAATACAATGTAAGCGCAGCAAGAAAGAAATGATCGGTTGTCTTTATTTGTTCGCGGAAATGTGAAAGATAGTTTAATAAAATGATTTCTATTAGGGTAGGATGAAGGCCAATGAATTCATCAAAGATATGCCATGATTATAGAAGTGGCTTGAGGAAGTGAATTTTAAACTTTCTGATAATTTGTTAATTTAGATCAGTTAACCAAGATGTTCAATCTTCTCATTTCCCATCCCAATTTCCACTTTTGTTTCAAAGTAGAACTAAAAGCAATGAAGTCTCCTACGGTGTCGACCTTCAAAATGGTCGTCTGGAGAGATTAGTTAGTTATAAGATCTTGTCTTTTAGTAAAATGAAACAGGATGAAATTAACTTTCGATGGTGGCTAATAATCTAATTCGTCCGGCAACACAATATTTTCTTATATGCATTGATATCGTTGAAGTAAAATACTATCAAACAACAAATGTTTCAAATAATAAAAGACTAGAAACAGTACGCGTAACGAAAAGCTAGAAGAATCGATGCTAAGGGACTTTCCCCGTCTCTAATGAATATGTTACACCTGGTGGATACTGCCAGTTTAGATTGGCGAACTAGCAGGATATATCAGATCGGATGTACCATGGAAGATTCAATGAGATCACTGTATAAAATAATTAAACTATTCCAAGGTCCAGTTTATTTAACAGAACAGTGTATTTAAATTGGACGATTCTGAAAGGAGATAAAGCGAAAGGTCGAGGAATGAAACAATTATTTAATTGTCGTCACAAATAGCTCATGGTTTTCGCGAAACATGATGCATTTCGGACGCGTGCTTGTATTTGCTTGAGTCGATTTTTCAGGTATGTAAGAATTTCTTGCCTACAGGAGCCCATAAGAGTAATTCTGCTGGAATCTTCGAAGAAGGGTGAGCGGAGCAGGGCTGAAACCTGTTTTTGTTTTAAAATAAACGGAGACATTCCTTTTTCGCGCATTCCTATCGTAATGATGGCATTCAACACCACACCTTATAATCAATTCTCTTTTTCCAACATGTGTGCATCACTCGCAACAACAAGTATAAAATCATCATCCTTCGCGATGATGCTTTTCTCGGTCCTTTGTTTTACACCAAAAAAAAGTCCTTTCATTGAAGAATCTTGAATCTGAGAGAATTTCAGAAACTTCAGAATTAATCTATCCGGTTATCTTCATTACTTTTTGTCTATCTGAATTTGAATTCACAAAATATTATAATCAAAGTTACAAATATTTTAATTAATTTATAAAAAATCTCATTGTTCTTAGAATTTCTCTCCATCAATCAGTGCTGGAAAAAAGTTTGTCCTTTCCGTAATTACTTTTATCCTGCTTCAACCAAAATCAAAGGGGACGGAAATTCGCCATAAAGCAAGCAACCGTTAAAGTTGCTTCGACTGAAATGTACCATCTCGTTAAAGTGCATCATCTTCAGCACTCAACAGTTTCTAACCCAATACATGATATAGTAAGTGTAGCTCATGATTCAACCTATAAAACTTTATCATGAACAATAACACTTAAGCTATAGGTAGCTATCTGCGATTTTTCCTTACTGATTGATTTGTTACACATTCACTTATTGACGTGCAAAATGACCAATAAATATGAATACTGATTCTCAACATGAATTTGATAAGAACAAATTGAAATGTAAAAGAATGAAAAGAAATAATACAGAAATGAGCGAAATTCCTTTTTAAGACCGGTGCACTCAACACACAGACACTGAACAGAAACACATAGGCACATACACACACACACACACACACACACACACACACACACACACACACACATAACAATACATATACATAATACATACATACATACATACATACATACATACATACATACATACATACATACATACATACAC